GAAACCGAAACTTCTCACATTAATAATATTAGTATAGATGTAACTATTACGTTTCTCTTCAGTTCTGTTTCTATTTCACAATACCAAGTGTTCATATTTTGTATGTATTGAAAAAATTATTCATTTCGGAGATTAGTGGTTTCCTCTGAGAAACATGTAGTTTTCAGTCTTTGTATTTTCTGTAGAATTTATCTTGTTAGAGTTGGGATAATTCTGCAATGTTACAGAACACAAGGCTAATGTCAGTCAGTTACATATTTTTGTGTTTATCATTTTCCCAATAATTAAATTGTGTACGCCACTGTCGATGGAGGAAAATCACAGTCTATCGCAAGTCTTCTCTTTTGGTTTGATATTGGTTTGCTGAGTCCATTTATTTTTTCACATCCATTTAGGAACCCATATAAGCCAATGCACGTCCTTCATTATGATACTTCTTGCCTATATTCGCTTTTCAATAATAAAATACACTTGTCTCTATAAATCCCAAAGCTCTCCATTTTCTCAGTAGTCTTGCATTCACTATGGAATTTTCCGGATTTGCCTTAAAAAAGTTAGAGCTCTTCCCCATAGAGTTGAATTCCTTACCAGGAATATATATAAACCAAATCAATTTACATTTATATCGATTTCAAAGAGAGGTCAATACGTGTTATATCCGTACCAGATTTATTTTTATTCGATGAATAATAAAATAAATTCTTGGTCTCTTATGAGATTTCGTATAACTCATTATAGTTTGTTAATTTTCTTACCGGCGCAGATGTCGAATTTACGCTTCATCACTCCTCTATAAAACGTTTCATAAACCTGACATTTGATTTGTAGTAGTGTTCGGTTAAAGATCGACCTAGCACACGTTATCCAAATAATAGTACACTCGAATTGTATTTTCGTTTCAAGTTAGCTTGTTTAACTCTATTTTCGAAAAGCTGTCTGAGTCAGTTTTTCAGTTTTATAGTTGGAAGGTTGTTAATTAATCTGTAAAGTATTCAGTTAAACTTGTATTATATCTACTAGGTGAGTAGTTTAGTTGAATTATTATCATTATTAGCGGTTTAAAAAAATTATAGTTAATGTTTTCTCATTAACATCAAAAGTGGTTGTTCAAAAAGTGTGATCGCTAATAATTTTTTTTCATCAACAGTAAAAGACATGCCATCGAATATATTGTATCGAATATATTGTTCTTTGTAACGCAACTGTTTTTATTCATTATAAATATTATTTATAAAACAGAATAGATATTTTATGAAAAGTCTATATTTATTTATTGAAACTAAAAACCGTCAAAAAAATAATTTCTCNGAACACTTTATCCATTGATTGTGTTGCCATTGATATTACTTTTGTTGATTTCCTCAATGAAATGAGCGATAGCGAATTTTCAGTTTTTTCTTCAATAAAACGTTCATCATGTAATTTCTCAATAAGAAATGTACCAATTTCTAGAAAAATTACTGTAGGCCCCGAAGTGGTCGACCTACAATAATCAAGGATGAGAATTGAGACTGGTGGAGACTGATCCATCACAAACTGTGCTAGAGATGGCGAAAGAACATGGCGTCAGCTCCCATGCGGTTTTTAATGGTTCACAACGTTTTGGAAAGATCAAAGACCTCGAAAAGTGGGTGTCCCACGATTTGAACGATCGACAGAAATCATCACACGTTTCGAATTCTTTTCTTCATTGCTTTTGCACAACCAAAACGATTCTTTTTTGAATCGGTTCGTCACGTGTGATGAAAAGTGGATTATCTACGTTAGCAGAAGACATTAAGGATAGTGGTCGGAGACCAATGAGCCACCCAGGCACTTTTCAAAGGCGTCCAAACCATCACAGCACAGTCCTTTTGTGAGAAAATCGACGAAATGAACCAGAAATTGCGTCAGCAGCAGCAGCAGCCGCCACTGGTCCACAGAAGAGGTCTGATCCTGCTCCACGACAACGCTCGTCCGCACGTTTCCCAAATCACCATCCAAAAATTAAATGAATTGAGCGTAGGAGTTCTGCCTCACCCACCATACCCTCCAGACCTGTCGCCAACCGACTACCATCTTTGCAAGTACTTCGATAGCTTTATCACCGGTAGAACTTTCAACAATAAGGACCAGGCAATAACGGCCTTCGTAAACTTCCGAGCAAAATTAATGGACGTGTAGTGTCCGACCGAAACTGGTTTTCACGACCGAAACCGAATTTCGACAACGGTCTCAGTTTTGGCCGAAACCGAAACTTCCTTACAAGGATCATGTTTTGAGGGAGAAATAAAGAAAACGTTATTATAATCAGTCAGTCTTTATTTTTTTATCTTTAAATCACAACGTTATGCAGTCTTCGACATTTTTACTTATTGATAATCAACAAATCAACATAACAACACAACAACAATTGCACCTTGAAAATACTTAAAATAGGTGAGGTGTTTATTTGAGTAGGTGTAGATTCTTCTTTTGAACATCATTAATGGTTTTTCAAAAATATTAAACATAACATTACTCATTTAAATTGTTACCTAATATCACAATAGGTATAGTCGAAGTAACCGATATAGTAATCTTAAAGGTGTCGGCGAAGTCAAAGGCCAAAAAACCAATACAAAGGAATTATGCCGCAACGAATTAGTCCACGTGGACTGAAGAATTGGCGGTTCGCATTGGATAATTTTCACTAATCGAGTTTCATGATTGGCTGAAGAGTCATAAAATAAAATTTGAAGTCATGTTACGGTGATCAACAGAATGTAGCGATGAGTACCGCCGTTGTCTGTGTTATTGAAGGGGAACTGCTGGAAGGTAGGGGGCACTATATCTTTTACTTGAACTATACTTAATATTTATGTAATAAACAAAGTTAATCACAAAGTAAGTCTCGAGTCACGACATGATTAGGCACGTGGACGCGGCAAAATGTCTTTATCGCTTATATGAAATTTAACGCGCTGAACATGACCGATCACAGCGCTGAACATGACCGATCACAGCGCGAGAACTCCCGAATGCATTTTCGGTTTCGGTCGTAGTTTCGGTAGGTTTGCCGCCGAAACCGAAACCCGTTTTTTGCCGAAACTCGACCGAAACCGAACTTTCGGTCGGACACTATCGACATGTGTTACGTTGGTAACTTAACCTTTAACTTACGATGGCAAAAGTGCACTGATTCAAATGTCGCTTATATAATAAAAATCAAACTGAAAAGTTCACCCCGAAAAGTTACTGAAGAGTCCAATCAGTCGGTTACTTATCGTATTTATAACTGGCAGAATAACAACAAACTGATTCCAGAGAACAAGCATGTCCGCCTACGAATACTGACAGCAAGTGCCTTAGGGTCTCAGACGCCTCGCGGCAGGCCCTGCACCTGGTGTCATGAACCTCTATACCCATCACGCGACTGCGGTAGACTAAGGTGTTGAAGACACCATCCTGGCAAGCCACAATTTTAACATATTTCATGTTTCAATTATGCTTAATTGGTAAATTTCATTAGTTCAGACTTCCATTGTCTAATATTATAGCATCAGTCATCACCCGAAGACGATTGTGGATACTAAAAATCGAAACGTCGTGGAGTAACTTGGCTTGGAATATCTTCATTTTTATTTTTTATTGGTTTTTATTTTTTGTTTAATTGTTCTATTTTTTACTTATATTTTATTTCAGGGTNACATGGGTGGATTCAATCCATTGAAAAGTCGTAATTATGAAAGAATTGATTGTTTTTTCGTATAATGTTATATGTATTTGTTACGGCGAAACATCGGATGTCTAGCAGTAAGGATAACAGTGTTCCATGTAAGTAAAATTTCACTTCTTTCATTAATTATATTGTGTAGGAATCCTGTGAATAATATCTGATTCGATTCCTAACGAATGTTTGGAATACAAACAGAATAGAGAAAAGTGTTTTTCGTAAGAAAGTTCATATGAAACTATTTGTTTCGAAAGTAATTCAATGTTTACATGAAAATATTTGTTTCGGGAGGACCTTTTTCTTCCAGTTTGTGTCTGAAAGTTACTTCTTCACATGACTACACATCTTTGTATAGAGGTAATTTTTAAAAGTGATGCCTTCCTTCCTTTCTTTGGAAGATTCCCACATTGTTTGTATCAAGAGTGAGAAGTAGAAGGATAAAAAATTTCTTTCCCAAAGATGATGATGAAAATAATAATAACGCATATGTTTGCCGTTCCAATCTTACTCTACTCGTTATAAGTGGTGAAGTGGACTCGGGAGAGGCTGTATCAACTTGACGTAAACACCTGAAAAATTATGCATCTTCATAGGAGTTTACTTCTCAAATCGTCCGTCCGTTCTACGGTTGTACTTTCTCCTACAACAGGAAGGCCGAAGACTGTTGAGTTTGAAGTGTCTACATGACAGAATGGTACTGGATACAGTCTGTGAAATCATTAGGACTTCGGATCTTTGTCTCTGTATGGTTAGCGACTATGAGAGAGCAGTAGTTGGAGCAATTCTCTTTGGGGTAACTGCCCTCGTTCCCCTGAACGGGGGGATCACAATTCTCTCACTGAGTTGGAACCCGTTCAGTGGCGGATTAAGCATTTTGCCGCCCGTCTAATACGCCGCCCTTTTTGAACAACAAAATTCTATATATTTTGATTTACAATTGTTATTGAATAAAGGCTTTATTTTATTCAAATATAATTAATAAATAATACAAATTGTATTAAACTCTAACATAATAAATAATAAT